CACTCTTGTGTGGAACAAAGGATGAATTAAAATATATTGTAATCTAATACATATGGCATATAAGCTTTTTTAAAAATAATTAACTTCTATTATTCTTCAACACTAAAAATGTATACTTCATCAGTCTTCTATGTTGATGATATATTCTCTAAAGTACTCAGAAGTTACATGTTTACAAAATAGTTGCCATCTCATAACCTTCTTGACCCCAGTATGGATTAAAACTGCTACTACAAAATGTAACTTGATTTACTCAATTTTTACCAATTCCCTTTATTCCTTAAGATGGAACAATGTAACAAACAAAGTCTCCTCAGACTAAAACTGCATGTCTCATAGGAAAATGAGACAAAGGTGTCCTTAAAAATAATACGGAAGGATAATTTATTCTATAGTATTAGCTACTCATAGCTACATGACATCACTACAAAGTAATGTGACATTACCTGACTTATCTGTATATTAAAATAAATCCATACTGTGTGATAAATTTGACCTTAATTCTGAGATATGTATCTGAATATATGGGGATAAGTTACGAAACTGATGTAATAGTTTTATTCTTACCCAATATATATGAAGATAGACATGGAGATTTTATCTTAAAATATATTAATAAAAAGTAGCTTGATTTTTAACACTAATTGTCATCCAGTTAAAGGAAAAACATAGTGCAGGTAAAATTAGGAGTTCACCTTAGTGAAAAAGGCTGGTACAGGACTACATTAGAATTACATTTTAAAACGATTCTTTTTAAGGCAGTTGTCAAGTAATTGGTATGGCAAGGTGCACCAGACCCTATTCTAACAAGTCAAGTGCAATAAGATGAACTTTTATAGAGAACTGTTTTAATTTGATTCATTAGGCAGAAACATTTGTGACTGAATGAAATACAAAACCTGTACCACAGGAAATGCCACAGATGCTTCTTTTCTTTCTCATATTCATATCATATTAAAAGTGCATCCAAAAACATTAACAGTACTATTATGAATTGTCAATTAAATATTAAATCTGATTTTACATCTTTCCAAGGCCTCTGCAATAATTCAACCCACAGTAAGTAAGAATTCACAAGACTGGGTTTTCAGAGATGTATTGAAGTATTTCATTTTAATCTGTCTTCAGTTTAAATGTCAGTACAGCTATTATGTTTTTAAATATTATAAAGTAATAAATGAAACCAAAGATACATGAAAGTATCTATTTACTGAATAAATGCAAGGTCCTAACTCCTGCAACTGAATGCCTGTAGGCAAGTGCTTATGCATAATTCTTGTATCAGTGGGCTTACCTACTGGCCTACGTGGTCCTTATAAAGCTAATCAGAATTTACAGGCTCCCAGAAATACACTGTGTAATGCATTATATGCACATGAAAACTCAATTCCTCAATTACATTTCCATCTTAGACCTCAGAGTGAAGTGTTAAATGAAAATTTTCCCCCACGCAACCTAATACCTGCCAAACACTGCAAATCTCCAAAGAGAGTAAGTAGAGAGGAAGAAGAAAAGAAGAAAAAAGGGCACTAAATGAAACACTGGGCAAAGGGGAAAATGTACTCAGAACAAAATATTGCATAAGACAGAAAATTAAAGTAAGCTATTGCACTGTAAGAAAGAATTAAACTATAAAAAGATACAGCAAAGATATACAAGAAACTCCTCAGGAAAGACATATGCAAAACACTAAGCACAGCATATAAAATTAAGCAGTGTAGAAAGATTTAACTCAACAAATTCAGTATTGATGAAAATATCTCAAGAGAAAAGGCAAAGGTTTCGGAGCTAGAACATATAAGCAAAATTCTCAAATATGCATCAAACCATATTTTTCCTGAGAGGAATCATAATACACAAAAATTCACATTGTGTGTGCAATAACAGAAAAATTAACGTTAACAGTACTTTACAAATATACAACCCCCTAGATCAGTCTGTTATTATCTACATGAACGTCTATGTTGTGATAAAATTTCTGTTTAGAGATCTCTGATCTGTCTTTTTAGGAGGGATCTATTTTATTAAAGAAGTTGTGGAACATCCATCATTTCAGCCTTCCCTCTGAATAATAATATTCTATAGTTTGCTTTCTGTGATGATTATTTTTCCTATTATATCATCCAGTTTTCCCAGAAATATTAATATATGAATGTTGTTTAAACACGACAACATTCAAAAAAGCGACAAAATTCATACAAAAATACCACAATATACATTTAGTTGGTTTTCTTATAGCAAGTCTTATCAACAGCTGTTGAAGGTTTCGGTACATTCATATTCTATCAATGTTACAATAATTTCTTGGAGAGTGAAAATCAGCTGTATGAGTGTGTATGCCATCAAGCTGTGTAATATAACAAGAAATAATGTAAGTTTGCAGACATATCAAATTGCTTCTACAAAACAGAGCAATATAGTTTTTTTCCCCACTGTGGAACATCCAGAGAATTGTATTAATGCATTCTTGGAGAAATCTGCTTCCTCAACCTAGCCAAGGTGCTAATGTCTCTCTGAATTTGCTTTTAAAAGAGAATATAAATATAACCCTGAGAAAAAAATAATCCATAAAGACAAGTTTAATCACAAACTGATGATGGACAGAAAACCAAAGCTGTGCACCATCTGAAGATCTGATAAGCAGAAGACCAGCATACTTCGCTTAGCCAGAAATATCACAGGCAAAGTGAATGGCCTTTACCTGACAACATGGGAACCCTGGAATTCTTTGCATCTAACTAATCAGGGAAAACACTTGCCAAAAACTTTTTTTTTTTTTTTTTAAGTTTAGCATTTTAGAAAATAAGCACTAAGGAAGATTAAGCAAGGGTATAATTAAGCCACTATTCAAGAACTGTAACACATGTATTAGGAGTATCCTCTAATGAACTTTGGTATTTTTAAAATTTGAAAAAGGATGTAGTGCACTGTATTTGATTAACTCTTGAACTATGAATAGTCCGGATAAAGGACAACTGCACTCAAATATCAAAATATAGACTTAAGTTCTTTAGAAGGATCCTATTATCATAAGGAACCATCAGAATACAAGATTTATTTTCTTGCAAATATAAACAACAACAAAAAAAGACTGCTCATAACTTTCCAATTATATCAACATTTTTTAAGGGGGGTGGGGTGGGGGGTGGCACACGGAAAATCCAGCTAACACTACCTTCAGTAGCATGCTTCCTTCCTGGAAAGCAGAAATTATTCTTTCTTGATCTAGAAGAGACTTCTAGCTTTGGCCTTTGTTGCCATCAAAAACCAATAAGATAGGGTAAAAATAACAGCAATTTCTTCTGGAATTCTGCATTCAGGCAGCAAGATAGTAGCAAGCTACCAAGTCCTAGCTGCAATTTCAAAAGCTCTCCAACAAGCTCTCACAGACAGACTGCCAATCTGAACAACAACTAGTCATGTTTTCAGAGCAATTGTGTAGATTCAAAAGCTAACACTAGGGCACGTTCTTGAAATTCTTCAAGAAAAATTTAGATCTGTGTTTCATTGTAAAAACAGAAAAAATTACTTGGATTTTTACAGTATTTACATCAAATTGCACATTATTTTTAAAAACTGCATTTTGGACATGTTTAATTTGAAAGAAGTAAAAATTGAGGCTGCATCTAAATATCTGATATGATCTTTATCACTCTTTTCCTAATAAATAAAATAAAAAAGACACATTACTAATGTATCTTTGTACTAACGTAACTAGTAAAGTCATCCTACATACAGATACAAAACCATCCAAAAAACATCAAAAAGCAACAGTCCATTTTTCCCATTTATAATTTAGGACACAGTAATCTTCTATCTACCAGGAAAAGTGTCCATACACTTTAGGCTGATGGCTGAAGCTGCAGGTATTTTTGATATTTTGAAATCATAGTTTGTCTGAACCATGCTCTAATTCCCAATTTTCTCTGATTAAAATAATTTATTCATATCCAATATGGAACAAAATTTCATTATAAAAATAATGCAACCCTAATACCAAAAAACCCAGTCAAACTTCTGCTGGATTAAACAATCATCTGTGCCTTCTGCCCCATATTCATAATAATCGTGCTGTGGTTATTTACAGAAACTACTAGTAGTGGTTTAGCTGTTCATATGAAGCAAACTGAAGATCATCTGCGTTTGGCCTTTCAGTACTCGCAACGAAATGTAGAACATCTACTAACCAGCAAAACACAGAAATCAAAACAGCGTTACAAAGACTGTGCAATAAAAACTGTGGCCCGATCTATCATTTGAAGACAAATTTTCTCCATGTAAACTTTCTTCACTGAGAAAAATCGCCATTTTCTTTCAAGAATCTCTTTCACAATTACCATAAATGTACAATTACCACAGTTCTACTCACAGACATTCAGATGATAAATATGAAAAAAAGTTAGTGCTCTTTTCTAATAATAATTAGAACATGTGTATATTTACATTTAATGAATATAAACAGCAATGTAGACATAATTTACTCTAGAGTAAGTTCTCAAATTGCTGCATTTGATCAATTTATCTTCCTTAACACAATAATGATAAGTGCTTCCCATGACACTCTGAAAATAGGTATCTAACCTTAAATTCTATGTACAACAGAATGGTAATTTCATAAGCTGTACATGCTGTGCCTATTGGATATGCTGATAAATAACTGAACTCTAATTAAGGGTTATAATTCCTTTGGTTTTGCTTCCAGCTAGTTTTTTAGAGAAAAGAGATAACAGATGTGTTTAAAAAAAAAAAAACAACCAAACAATTTCTGGCTAAAGAATTCATATTGCTAGAAATGTATAAACCATATTGCTGTACCATACTGCATATTAAATAGAGTTTAATTTTGTTTGGGGTAGAAACAAGGAAGAAAAATGAAGACTGAAGAGTGTGAAAATTATAAAGCACTTAAATTTTTGTGAAAGTACTTTAAATATGTATTAATTTATATATTTTTGGTAAGAAACAAAAGCAGAATTCATGGTTACCATAGTTACACATACTCTTTGTTGTGTTTCAATGCCACATGATCTGATTCAAAGTAATACACATCAGGCTCTTCCTCATCATCCTCTGCAGTGTGGATGTTGGCACTCTCTTTGGCAGATGGTACATATCCAGCAACAAGCCTAGCCTCAGAAAGTGGCTTTCTTAGTCCATCACTCCCATGATCTCCCATATTACAATTTCTCTCTTTTTCATTCTGTTTAATTTCTTCAGACTTTTGGGGAGATCCATTGATATTATTAATACCTACAGGTACATTCTTTTCAGTGGGACTAAGATTATTTTCCTCAACCTGTCCGTTTTCTCTACAAGGAGAGTTATTTTTAGTAGGGCTACTTCTGGCAGGAGCAGCCCTTCGTGGTGAAGTTCTCAATGTATATCTGTGTTCTTGAAGTTCCGACACAGAAGTCATTTGAGCTGAAACACAGTCCAGCACTGAAGAATGTGGTTCAGGTTCACCTGAGATTGATGCACTGTCATGATGAGTATTCAGGTTGCTATTGGTGTTTTCAGCACACTGTTCCTTAGAGGCACTACTATCTCCTACAACATCTACCTCCTCCTCCGAATCCCTTAACAAAGATGACTGGATTTCAGAAAAGGACCCTGTAGCTGGCTCATCTGCCTGATTTGCATGCTCCTCAGGCAAGCAGTCATTTATTATTTTGTGGTCCTCTAACTTTACCTGTTCTTGAGAGTTTGTGCAAGGCACATAATGGTCTACAACACTGTCCTCCTTGCTGCTATTAAGCAACAATGAAGAATGGGCAAACGAGTCTCCATTTTCTGCTACTGTTTTGTCCTTGGGCATACAGGAACCAGCACTGTTTTGCTTAGTGTTCCCATCAAGCTGACAGTCATCACAGTTAAGAGAATTTGAGTCTCTCTCACCAACTCCATTGACAGTCTGATAACCTGCGATCTCGTCAACTATTGCAGAATTGTTAAATCCTTCTGCACAGACATTCACCTTTTTAACTTCCCTTTTGTCACAATCATCCAATATAAGACATCGACAAGCTCGCTTAGTCCCTGTGGAGACTGCATCATTGTCCGACACTAAGCTTTTATGCTCCAATGATTCCTTCTCTGTTTTAGCAGGCAAGTCGTCTTCTGAACTGTTGGGTGCCTCTGAACGTAAACAGCGCTTAATTCTTTTCAAAACTGGTGAAACAGGTTCTGCTTGTTTTTTTTCACAATTTTCCACAGTTTGTTTATCAACATTATCTTTTTCCGAAGTAGACAGCCCTCTCTTTCTAGGGCTCACCCATGACTCCCGAGCGCTCTGTTGTTTCAAATCAGTAGTTCTTCCACCGTTACTTCCCTTCTGAGTTTGCACAGACTCTGGCCTCTTCTTTGGTGACCTTGACCGTATTTGAGGATGGGGTGAAACTTCCTCTGGATGAGCAATACTACGGTTTCTTAATGTTCTACCACAAAAGTTTTCATCCAAACCATTCAAACCCACTGTAGATCTTGTAACACGAGTAGATCGAGAAGCAGCCATACTATGGCAAGTCCCTAAAGTATGTTCATCATGATCCACTCATTGGGAAACCTTCAAAAAAAGGTAAACAAACCAGTCAGGAAAAAATACTTAAAAAACACCTACAGACATAGCAAAGCTGAAGAATATACTGACACAAATGTACCTAATGTAAAACTGAATATGCCTACGCAATGTATTAATACCACTTCTTTCTGTGGTATTTCCTTATGGCATTAAAAAAGTTTTCCATCTAAGCTACAAAGTAGCTGACTTGGTATTTGCCATCGTTCTGGCTTTAGTACTTGTGTGTGAATGTTGCCCCTATTTATGCTTTATGTAAGGCTGCAATGTTCCAGTTAGGCTCCATTTACTAAAATACACTATTTCTATGTATTGTACATATGACATAATGTATTGGTATTATTATTTAAGTTCGTCTGGTCAAATGAGAGGGATCAAATCACATTTTTAATATCCCGCAGTTTCCAGTTACATGGTTTCACATACTAAGAAGGAAACCATTAAAATTGTATTTGCTTGCTCACCTGTTGCTTGAAACAAAAACAAAACTGAATTGCAATTGTAATTTAACAGGGGATTAAAAAAAAAAAAAACACACACACACCAGTAAGAAAGTTACAGTCATTAATAGTAAAAATGAACTAAATTAATGCCTGCATCTATTCGAGTTGGAAAGGACTTTGGGAGGCAATCTAGTCCAACCTCCTACTCAAATGAGCATCAAGACTAAATTCAGATTTACTTACACAGGGCATTGTCCAGCTGGGTCTTGAAAACCTCCAAGTACAGATATTCCACAACTTATCTGGGCAACCTGTTCCAGTGTTTTAATTGTCCTTATAGCTAAAATACTTTTTCTTAGACCCAGGTGGGGCCTCCCCTATTTTTGCATCATTTACGTCAACAAAAAGCCTGGCTCTATCTTCTCAGTAATCTCCTCTGAGTTACTAGAAGGCTGTTTCCCAAGCCTTCTCCATTTTTAAACCTTTCATACAGTTGGTGAGATGAATCATCACCAACATTGGATTTAAGTAAATTCAGACTCAAAGCTAAGTTTAAAACATCCAGTTTGAGAGTGTCTGTATTTCAGATTTCAGAGTGAAATGTAGGAGTATTCAACCTGCCCAATCTCAAAATAACATTTTTAATAGAAAGCAGTTCAGTCTTATCCTTCTATTCATTTTACTTTTAAAAATTCAATGTGTCAAACTGCTTATCACCACAAACCTGTCATAATGTCCATGATAATGAACAGATTCACATTTGTACATAATGGCATACCTTGCCTTTTCCATCTACCCAAATTCCAGATTATACAAACCTGGTCAACTGACATATGATGTGAAGACTTCAAATTTTAAATATGGAATCAAACCTTTTACATGTTATTTAGAAAGGCTGAAAATGACAAACAGAGGAAAATTGTTTCAATAGGTGTTTTCCATCTGCAGCAAAGGAGAGGGGGGGAAAAAAAAAGAGCACAAATTCTCACAAATCTACTGTTTAGGTGTCAGATGGTCCTAGAGCAGAAAAGAGAACGGGACAAGAGCAGTACACCTCTTAAGCAATACAATTCTGTTTGACAATTAACAGTAATTACTATAGTCTATTTAGGTATTCATAATTCATAAGTAGTATTTCTTAATGAAAGTAATGTATCCTAAAAGTATTGCTTGGTATAGCTCTAGATACAATTGTATAAGACAGAACATCATTTTGCGTAACAAAGAAAAGGCAATTACAAAATGGAATTTTCAAATGTTCTCAAAACTGCCTGGTATTTGTGCTGCTACTACCCTCCTGGCTTGTTAGCTATTTCTGCTGCCTTACATGAATGCCTGGAAAGGTTCACTGTTTGTATTCCTGGAGTTACAGGTAAAGAACTGCTATTGTACTAACTTCCATTCTGCCCATTTAAAAGTATCAATGCAGGACAAAGTGTAAGATGTCCAACAAACTCTGTCTTAAGAGAAAATATAAATAATACAATGAACAGCAAGTGGGCAAAACATCAGTAGCTGACTGAAAAAAAAACCATGTAACTATGCGTTGTCTATAATGGTTGTTTACACCTATTTTCCACATAGATAAACTTGTCTGTATATTCTCCCATTACACACAAGCTCAATACCTTCTGAAGAGTGATCTCATTTGGGGGTCAACCCAAACATGAAAAACAAGGTCATTTAGATATTGCATTTCACCTAAGTTCTTCTAATTAAGGTTAGCACATGTTAAGAATAAGTAACTGACATTTCAAATGGATACCAATAAAATAAATTAAACCAAATTCCAATGTACACTTTGGCGAGCAATTACTGTTGAACTCAACAGACATGAGAAACAATAGGTAAGACAGAAATCTTTACTGATTTGGTGGTATGTTACTTTCTAAAGAAATACACCTTACATAGTAAGTTAAAGAGTCATTATTTACTTAGTACAAAATGTAAAAAACTTACCATTGCAAAATGAGAAGAAATACAAACTTCTGACATTTCATACAGCAGACTCTCACTGCACCACTCGAATAATATCAATCACCACTGCTAATATCCATGATGTAATCCAAATGGCTTTTTAGTAGTTTATGCCATCACATTAACAAGATTTTGAAAACTGTTGAGAAAAAGACAAAGGCATCAATAAAACTTTTACATTATTTCATTAAAAATTATGAAGAATGGAACAGGACATATAGTGTAACAGCTTTTTTAAGAAGCAGTTATCAGTTTTACAAGTGTCCTACATAAAGAACAGTATGCTATAAAGTAACTAAGAATGTGAAATGCTAATTTAGGTTTAAAATGTAAAATCTCTCTCGATTTTTTTCTAAGTGATGCACTGTATCACACTAAAGATTTGCAAGCAAATGAATTCACAACTGGAAGTCATGTGTTAGGGTGTTCAAACCTCAGAAGATATTTGAAGAGACACAAGAAAACAAGTAGTGAAAGACATTACTACAACTAATGAATTATGAAATGCATTGTCAAATATATTTTATAATTAGACACACAGTGAAAAAAAATTATTTCTGCTATTTAATTTTAATCAAGTGAGCAGAATTCAGAACTTACATTGGCTCCAAATCCCTGAATAACCTTCATCTACACAATAGGAGTGAAATGCTTTCCAGAGTTCACATTAAACCTATTCTTCACCCCAGGAAAACAATGTATACTACCTTGTTTATAGTGGAAGTGAACCAATTTTGATATTGAAAGACAGAAATAAGCCTATGGATCCAAAAACCACACAATGCTTTCAGCTGTCTCCAGAATTCAGGCATCATTGCCAATGCCCAACAGGTATTACTTGAAAAAACATACCAGGAATCGCATTTAATTTAAGAACACCTAGTAGTATGGAGGCACCATAAATCACTATACGATGGTGATTACTGAATCTTTCTTCATATTCTGTTGACTTCCTAAAAGTGAACTTATTTTCTTATTGACAATTCAGAAACATCATGATGCGAAACACAATCTGACAGGTTTCTCCACATCTACAGAGTTGTTATATTTAGTTTATATAAGTCCAAAGCCTTTGGAAATTGTCTTCTTTACTTTCAACCTACTTATGATTTCATACTGGTAAGAGCAAAAAACTAATTCCCCATTAAGTTGACAACTCAAAATATAAACTGAGCCAAGTAAGAGGAGGAGATTAATTATGTCTAGTTACAGTGAAATTCAATAATGAAAGATTTTTCTACAATCATGTTACATGAAGTATCATAAATTCTATTATGTGGATAACTAAATCGAATTAGATTTCAATTATTCAGTGGAATTTCTTAATTGAACAAAGAGCAGAGAACTGTCATAATGAAAGACAAATAAAGAATGGAAAAACAAGAAGGCAAGGAAAAACACTTGAAAATGCAAGAGATAAATGACTGAAAGGAATGAGCAAAAAGGAACAGTTGCTACTTAGCCACACCAGGAATGGAACCAGAAACAGAGAGAGACGAACTCCACAAAGAGCTCCAATACAAGTGACTTCAGCCTGTGTCCCCCCACCTCCCTGGTCATCAAGTTTCTTCTGGTTTTAATATTCTGGTACACTCTCCGTTACTTAAACCTATACTGCTGCCTTTCCTATAGATCCCTTTAACTGTCAGGAAAGACACATATGTAGATACCAAAAGTAAAGAGAGATTTTGACAGATTTTTGTAAAAACCGAACAACACACCCCAACAAAAATCCCACAGCTCAGTAACTTTGGTAAAACACAAAATACAGAAAAAAGCCTGAAACAAAATATAATGAGTCAATCAGAAGGAGGTCTAATCTCAAAATTTATAATTACTTCACCAGTCCATAAGTAAAGAACATTTGCATAAGTTGTTTCAGGAACAGCTGAAATAGTTGACAGTCTTCCCTCAGATTTGTATACTTTATGTCCCCTAATTTTCTTTCCCCTAAACCAACTCTATTTCACTCACAGCAGGAAAGACACAACCCCTGCTGTGCCTAGGCACCTTTGGGGAGAGCAAGAGCATTTTAGAAACAGCAAAAAGAATGTGCAAATATCACAAGAGGGGAAACCAAGGTGGGAAAAAAAGTTTTACCTAGTCAGGATTTTTTTTTAGTAGCGGGGGTGGGGGGTGAAAAAAAATTAGAAAACTTTAATCGGGATACACTGAAATGACTGCACCTTAATTACTGCTTAGAAACTAGAAAACAACATTCACAAGAGCTTACTAAGTGAACAATTAACTTCTCCCACAAGTTTACTTGGAAAAATTATCTTGAAAAGCAACTATCATTTCTTTACATTTATTTCATAACCAATTAGAGTAACTTTTTTCACCTAGAACAACCACATCTTCAATGGTAGAGAAATTCAATGGAAGAGTAATTTAATGTTTTGGACACCACTCATTTTAAGAAGATATTTATGAGTTGGAATAAGGAGTGCAAGGGAAACAAAATACGCTTTTAGGTCTAAGCCATTCTTCAGGGAACCACACCAACATTTAAGAAAA